CTTTTGGCTCGACTTTAGCCGCGGCTAAAGTCGAGCCAAAAGCGTGCAACACCCTTAAACGCCACCCCTCGAAAGCAACGCCTCAAAGACCCTAGCAAACCCGCTGAAACTCTGCAAAGTCAAGCGGTGAGTCTGTAGCCATGTAGGTTTGGTTCAGTTCGCTCAGTTCGCTGTGGCGTAGCTCCGTTTCTCGCCGTCTGCTCCTCCTCGGCGCGGGATGCTGGGAGATCAGCGGCTTGAGGTCTTCTGTCTGCTTGCCTGCCGGCTTCACCAGCAGTTAGTGCCGCCGGTCTGGTAGGCTTTTTGCCTCGACCCCTGCCATACGTGCTGAGGGACAGTACCCCATTCATGATCGAGGGAGCCCCTTCAAAACACTCCAAAATCGTTGAAAACCCTTTCAAGCCCTCTAAAAGCACACTGTAAAACATTCGAAAATCGTCGAACAGCCCTCTGAAACCATCAGAAAGCCTCTCAAAAACCTTGTAAAGCCCTTGTAAACCCTCTAAAATTTTACCCTAAAGCCCTAAAACAAGGCAGATCCGCAACAAAAAAAGGGAATAAAAGAAAAAGGAAGAAGAAAATCTCCACCCCTATTCCGGGCCCAAGGCACTACTCTTTTGACCCGCACAGCATGTGCAGATGCGAGCAGCATGGATCCACGTGGAAGCCCATTCAAAACTTGCCGGCGCATCCTTGTACTGAGCCAGAACGCCCTCCAGCAGTTTGTTCGACCTTTCAGAAGATCGGGTGCTCGCCAAGTTGTGCCAAACGAGTCGGTACACCCAAATTCGGTGCTTCAGCCCGAGGTGAGGGTTTGTGCCTTGGCACGTTTTACCGGATTTTACCGTCTGCATTTTGGAGAAATGGCCATCAAGCTTTGATCACAGCAATGCAGGTTGAACGGAAGCCCGGGCAGGATGATATTCGTGAAGGTGACGTGGTCATCGCCGTTGGTGGCTCGCTACTGACAGGGTTGGATGAAGACACTGTGGAGGCTGCCTTGCCTTTTTGTACCTTGCACTGTTTGTCGGTGAAGCCTTACACCAACGAGAGGTTGTGCCAATAAGTGACACAATTGATAACAGCAGTTCTTATCCGTTTTTGTTCAGCCTACCCGATGCCTGCATCCAATAACCTATGTTATTCGTTGGCTCAGCACAGTCTGATCTCAGAAAATGTACTGGTCTGCCAGGAGCGCTTCAGGAGCGAATTTGGCAATGGAGTCGGGATCGTGATAGGCTGCATGAGCGAGCTGATGAAGCATCCAGTGGATCGAATAGTAGAGCATGTTTCTGCAAAGCTGCGGCGTGTAGCTTGAATGCACCTGGCAAAAGAAACTGCAGCTCTCAGTAGCCCGAAAGCTCACAGCTAACGGTAGGATGGCATTGACCGGCTCGAACCCCATGCCGAATCCGAAATCAAAAACTCCGCATTTCTGACGCCCACTGTAGACCTGTTGCGTCTGGCTGTTGCGTGCTCCACCATTATGGAAGCTGGTGAGTACGTTCCTGTAGGCAGCAACGTCACCAGCCCAACCTGGGAAATAGCGAGCCCGGAATGGGCCCAACAAAATGTGACACGTTCGTCATGACATCCAAGACCGTGACCGTGACCATTGAGGACCAAACCCGAGCTGGTGTACAGGTTGGCCTAGTATGACTTTGATGTCTTGCGACCTCAGACGGAGAGTTCAAGCACATGCCTTCTTGGGCTGCTGGTTTGTTGCAAACTAGATGGTCCGGAGTCCAAACTTTACCCGACGCCGCAGCGAAATTCGGATCATCAGCATTGCTCCTTCCAAGAGCTGAAGTAGCTGTAGCATGTGGCAGCCTCAGCTTCCATGCCTTTAAGCCGTTGCTGTGATGGAGTGCCAGCACTCGTGCCAGGCCGATTACAGGGCTTGCAGATGTTGCAAAGGATCCCGAAGCAGGACTGAAGTTGGCAAGCAAGAAGTCGTTTCGAGCCACCAACCAACGAAACGCGCTCCTTGTTCAGAGGAAAGAACCAGAGCCCTTTCGGCCCTGGCGGAATATATCATGAGAAGCAGGTCGGCTCTCTGTGCGCTCGGCCCTCGGCATCGCCATTCCAACCGGTACGACTTCATCGACTTAGCGCTACAGCAGGTCAGCTTTTTGAACAGTTTTTCTCTCCAAGACCTCGTCAAGTCAAGCTTTAGCTCGGTGCAGGCAGCATTCTGCGGTCATGGTCAAACCTTATCAGAAAGCCTACTTCCTGCCTTTAAGATTTTGAGTTGAGTACCTCCTCCAAAAGAGGACGCTTTGGACTGAACACGGCACCTCCTCCAAGTCAGCGACTTTACGTTGAAAGCTGGACGGCTGCTCGAAAACGCGAGTCTGAGTCGGGCCACTCTTTGGCTTCTGCTCGCTGGAGAAAGCATCAACACCTTGCACAACTTCGCATGCTGATCATACCAAGTTTTGAGCCGATATGCACGCCACGAAGGTTGATGTTGGCTTGTACGATCGAACTCTCATGCGTATAATGTCCCGAGGCCATACACTGTGTGAACAATATGTTCCAGGCTTTCGGCTCATGCTGCACTTGGGCATGCGTGGCCGCGTTGGCATTGACAGCTTCTGATTATCAGTAGATGGCCAGGGCCCGCTGTACGAAGACCATGACTTCAGATCCATTGCAAGAGCCACTCGGCCACAGCTAGTGGTGTGTTTCCCCACTGCACTCGTGGAGTTCGGTCCGATCTTCAATGGCCTGACTTAGCTCCTGGACGAGCGAGAACGAAGCCTAATGAAAGGAGAAGACCTAGACTTTGGCGGCGGCCTCAGGTGCATGGGCACGGCGTCATGCCAAGTTATACACCCGAGTTTTCCGTGAGTGACGTGAGGCAATGCTCGCCATGATGGCTTCTACAACGTGCAGGTCATGCAGGAGCTCACAGCATAAGTTTTCTTTCTCTGATCACAAGCAGCAGTCGGAGCACGCAGATATCATTGAAGGTGAAATCTGGGTTGAACCAGCCAACCATGCAGTGCTAAGAGAGGGACGGGCAAGGCATGCACGCGCAAGGCGGTACCGGAGGATTCTGGTAGGCATCTACTTTCTCAGATACTCCGAAGTTTCGAACTGATGCGAAAGGGGTTTTCAGGATAATTCGCGCACCGGCTCATGTCATCACCATGGTCCATGGCCATCAGCTGCCATCCGGCAAGCCTTTGCATTCTGGTCGCAATTTGGGTTGCCAGGAAGTGTTGAGAAGGGCGGGATATGAGATGACCTCGGTCTCGGCCGAGGCCTACACCTACTTTTGATAAATGTTTTGGATGGGCAGTTCTTGAAAGTTTCATGACTCCACAAACTCTTCGACTCGACAGGCTGCCAAGGATGGCGTGGAGAGAGCTAAGGAGAAGGCATTCATCTTGAATAAGCCAGCTCCCCGTCTTGCCAATGCATGTGTGTGAGACTCCGAGACCTTTGACCCAGTTTCCAGGCAAGAGCATTGGTTCTGCGTGCGGCGGCTTGGTCAGGAGTGGTGTGGGCCGCAGAGCGCAACGAAGTTAGTGCCTGGTTACCCCGAGCATCCCCTAGGCGGCCCTAGGATAGCCTAGACGCCAGCATGCGCCAGCCGACACTGGTACCAGAAAGTATGTGTTGGTATGTGATGCCGTTGGAAACTGCATTACAGCAATACACTACAGGCATTCGGCAGCAAATGCAGCTGCAGTGTCTGCAACGGCCTCGAATTCGATGTCCAGCAGTAAATGTTTGCATGGCTTGCAAACTGCATGCATGGGTTGCTTCTGCTTAATTGCATTATGCACAGCAAAGCATTATGCACAGCAAAGCATTATGCACAGCTGATGCTGACATGATGACATGTTTCAGCGGCGGCTGGCTTTGCGACGTTCAGCAGGCTCAGTCCGGATTTCGCGAACACTGCCTTTTTTGCTCTTCAAAGAAAGAAGAACTTGACGCCACTGGTGAGCAGGCGGATTGAGTTTCTCCGACCTGAGCAGTACTGCGAGTACTGCCTTTGCAGCAAGCAGACTGCTTTAGAGCATGTACTACCATTCTGTTTCAGACAACGGATACAGTTCCTGTGATGAGATGCTTTGCATGTGAAGACGACTTTAATGGGCGCAATGGACTCCTGTTCGCTGCATATTCGTCTCTTGCAACCTCGCCCGGCTTTGTGCAACTAGCTAGATGCAGAACCTCCGTCTCCAGAGTGACAGCAGCGTTGCTATTGCATGTGTTGCATGTTCCCAGTACCGGCACCCGGTGTGGCTAACGTAGAGCTAACGGGAGTTCGTCTCATGAGACTGAATCTATCCTGTAGGGCGCGCCCCCGCGCCCCCGTCGCAATGCATTACTGTTTCTTCGAGCATACTGCCAGAGTGTGTGCCTAAGAGCAGGCAGGTGGATCACGGAACCATCAGATTCAAGAACGCCTCAGAACCGAAAACCAACCTTTGGAAATCTCGGCTACAACTCTTATTGACATTGTTGATAGTGTGGCCGTCAATGCATGCGAATGGTAATCGAATGGTACCTGGTCACATTCAGCACCAACACTGCTACTCGTAAAACTCACCAAGTCATCAAGACTACCAAACAAGGACCACATATCAAGTGCAGATCTAAACAGCAAGGCCAGCTTCGGAAGGAAACTCTTGTGCCTCTGAGTTGCAATCGGGAATATAAGCGGCCTGTTGATTTGCTGAGGTTCGACCTTAACAGCTGCATGTCCGTGCCCAAGCACTACACGGATCGTGATCTCGAGTGGCTTATCAAAGAGGCAGCCAGTGGCCTAGCAGGGGCAGCTTGCTGAGATGACACGCTCATACATCCTCGAGCAATTGAGGTCAGTGATGGTTACGGCGTTTTTCGCGTCACTGGAGAGTTTCCTTCGCCACGTGCTCAACCTGCTTTTTCGGCTTCACTGCTGAATCCCTTGGCTTAGCAGTCTTGGCGCCCAGGTGTGCTTTGGAAGAAGATCACAAGAAGCTGGTCGAGGCAAAGGAAGGTGGGGAAACACATTCGTTCAGATGGAGACCCAGCCACGCATGTCCTTGTATCTAGCGGACAGTCTGCAATAGGCTGCGGTGGACCACGAACCGGCTATAGCTTATATGCTGGCTCCGGGCAAACTTTGTCAAGTCCCGGTGTTGGAAACTAAGCTCCGAGAAAATCAAGTTTGCAGAATCGGTCCCGCGCCTTGGTCTCTGCATCAGCATGAGGCAAAAGCTCCTGCTGCCCCGCCGTCGGATGCTGCTGCACTTCGGGCTGTCCTATCCACAGCAACCGACGTGACTTCGTCCTGGTGCCGTGATGCACCTTTTCTGCTGGAGGCCAGGCTAGCTCGACTGGGAGGAGGCAAGAGCCAACTGTCACTCTGTCACTGCATGTCAAGCCAAGCACTCCAACCAGGTGCTGCCCCTTCACCTCCTGCATGACTTTCACAGAAAAGTGAGACATGTCCAGACAACAAGTCTGCTTTGGGAGGAGTGAAGCTTGCGAGCATAACTGTTGATGCGATCAGTGTTGCATTCTTGCGTGATTTAAGAAGCAGGATAGCTGGAGGGCCAGATCTACCGACATGGTGTCCGGTCCAGTCGTCGGCCAAGAATGCAAGCCAGCGCGAGCGAGCTGCTGACATATTTCGAGGCGTGACATATGTGCATGTGCTGCACAGGTTTGCAACTGCACATTGATGAAAATGAGCTTGCCTGAAAGACTGTATCGCACAAGCGAAAGTCGTTGACAAAGTTTGTTTCACTACATCGTCAACATTAGCTGGAACTTGTTGCTTGCTACCAGTGGTGCGTTTTGAGTGTTGCTGGATGTGTTCAGCAGCTTCTTGATGAGCATAAGCAAGGTATGTACGTTTCGAGACTCTGCTTGCACGCATGCTGCTTGCTCATCGAGCATTGGCTAGCGCCTGCGAGTGAACCTCGTGCCAAAGAAAGGCAAGGCCACTCAGCGTTGGAGAATTGTTCGAAATTCGCGTCATCCAAATGGTGCTGTCTTGTTTCTCCCTGCGCCGGGCTTGGCCATTGGACTTGAAAAAAGCGAAGGTTACTAGGGTGTCGGATCAAGCTTGCCGTTCAAAGCAGTGCCACGGTGCAATGATGGCGATGCCTTCTGGTTCGCGCTCCGTGCGACGCAGGTCTTTGACCTTCGTGCTCGCACTCGCCCTCCTGTGGCTTGCCATCGCACTGCGCTGCACAGAATCCACACAATCGTTTGTGAGTCCATATCATGGCCAAGCCGGTTTGCCCCTGCGCAGCCGCGTCCGCATGGCCACCGCCACAGGCTTCAAAGAGGACGAGGATGAAGATCAGAGTGGCAAGCAGAGTGATGACTACCCAGAGTTGTCGGCCAAGGCATTGGGCCGCGAGCCTGGTACTTGCGATCCCTTTGACCCCAAGAGCGCCGAGTACTGTTCTCCAACTGAACCAGAATCCTCGCCACTGATTTCGAAGCGAACGCTGAAGCTGGGAGCCCTCTTTGTGCTATGGTATGCACTGAACATCGGCTACAACATTGGCAACAAACTCGTCCTTACGGCTCTTCCGACTCCATGGTCTTCCGCAACTTGGGAGCTGTTCTTTGGGCTGCCCTACGTCGGCTTCCTTTGGTTGACCGGGCTCCGAAAGAGGCCGGAACTGACCTGGAGCGGTCTCAAGCTCCTCATACCGCCGGCTTTCTTCCTGGCGTGCACCCATGTCTTCGGCGTCATCTCATTTGGGGCTGGTGCCATTTCCTTCACGCACGTATGCAAGGCCACAGAACCGGTGTGGATCCTAGCCCAAACAGTAGGCATTCTGTAGTTTTGCGGACAGTGTTGACCAGAGGCGATTCGATCGTATGGTTTGATGCTTTTGGCTGCACAACCCAGGACAGCATTGATCTCAGCCTTAGTCTTCCGCGAGTTCCTGCCGGTGCCTGTCTACCTGAGCCTCATCCCGATCCTTCTTCTTTTCAGCGGCTGTTTTTGTTTTCCAGGCTGGGGCGAAGGCTCCCATGGTGATTTGCCACGGTCCGTGGCACCGTTTCTTCTGCGGAGTGTTCGGGCCTGACCTGGCCACCAAGGATCATCTTCGGAGTTTCACTGGCATCCGCCCATGAGCTATCCTTTACCTGGATCAGTGCCTCGGCAAAGGAAACAGGGCTAGGTCGAAGTCTCATCAGAACTCCCAGCCGGAAACTAACATGCCCATGCTAAATTTACGAGGAAAGCTCAGACTCACACGACGATGAAGTTTATTCGCAAGAGTGTGGGATCAGAAAGAGGGCTGGTGGGCTGCTGACTCGATGCAAAACTGCATGGCCAACTTAGTGACACATGAGTTCTACCTCATCTGCCTGTTCGGGAAACTTCGCTTCAGCAGAGCGAGGTGAATGCTTGACCAAGCACAAATCGTAATGTCATGCCATGTTGCATTTGCAGAGCTTTTGCTGCGTTTGACAGCGAGCTTATGTCAAGCAAGCTGCGAAGCTTGCATATGACCAACTTTGCTTAGAGAGTCAGTGCCACCGGCGCCACCGCAGCCAGTGTTTTGCACTTGTTTGGTATGGGGGTTTGGGGTGGTACCAAGACGAGCGATGTTGCTTGGTATTCTCAAGCTCTGAGAGCCTCCTTGTCCCTCACTCACTTTCTGCGCATCCCGTGTGCATCCCTGCCCGTCTTGGGGTGTGCACAACCGCAAAAGGGGAAGCTCCTATCCGTGGATCTGCCCTGAAGGCTTCATCGCCGCCACTGGCAGCGCGGTGACCTCTGCCAGCAAAGCCATCCTTGGAAAGAAGGTGTTGGATGGGAAGTCCTTAGGAAAGAACCTCACGCCGGGTAACATGTTTGCCGTCCTCACTATCCTGGGTTGCTTCATGATTCTTCCAGCCTCCATGCTCATCGAGGGACCCTCGAAATTCTCAGCTGCCTGGGCCCATGCACTGGCAACGGGTTACACGGCTCAGAGGCTTTGGATCATGCTCTCCGTTTCCGGCTTCCTCTACTACACCTACAATGAGGTGGCTTTTTTGGCCTTGAAGGAGGTTGCCCCGGTCACGCATGCTGTGACCAACACGGTCAAGCGAGTCGTCATCATCGTCGCGTCAGTCATCGTTTTCAGAAACCCTATATCACCGCTCGGAGCTCTTGGTTCCAGCCTGGCCATCATCGGCGCGCTCCTGTATGCCCTCGCAAAGAATCAGAAGAAATGAAGGCTCCTTGTCCGCAGCGAAGTTGTCACGCCAGGCACGACATCATGTCGTGAGGAATCCCGAGCCTGCGAGATGCAAAGAGATCAATGGAGCTTCAACATCACAATTAAGCGCCGAAGGTACAGTCAACCATACTGTCTCACTCCAGTCACGGTGTTGATAGCGTGAATTTGTGTTTGAACCTGCCCTGCAAGGGTCGAAGGAGTCATGTAGGGAACGTAGATGAATGTAGGACACGCTGCCCCAGCTCCATCTCAGACATGCTGATGGTGCAAAGGTTCGACCCATCTCACCTGTGATCTCCGTGGGGCATTCTGGACGATGCAAGCAGATGCAGGCAGCTCCCAACTAGGAGTATTTCGTTAAGCAAGGCACAAGGCTGCCGTCAGACGTTGAGGCTTTGCTGTGTGTGCGTGCGCGTGCAGGAGTGATAGAAAGAGACACAGAGAAGGCGAGAGAGAGAGGGAGCCATCCGGCGCGGGGAGCCTAACCT